GTTTTCGCCTTTTTCTCCCAGTTTCTTAGTTTGCTTGAGAAACCCGTTCTGTGAGAATTTAGAGCCTTCGGCCAGGGGGCCGAAGGCACCCCTGTGCGTTGTGCGGGCTGCTTGGTACTCTGGGCGCTGTGATTTGGGCCTGTTGGGCCTGTTGGACCTTTGATGGAGTAGTAGGAGTCTGTGGGCCGGGGGTTCCCGGGCCATATACTCCATCATCTTTATTTGCCCAACTTCGAAATCTTTCTATTTTAATTCAAAAGAATTACCTTAGTCCGAGATAAAATAATTCCGCTGATATAAAATATTGTCCTATCTAAAATGAATTTAAGATGTGGCCTCGGAGTTCACTAGATGGTCCTTTGGCTATGTGGACTCCACGATTTAAATTAATGATCGATAAAATTAACATCTATAATAAAATTAACGATCTTATTCATAATTGTTCAAAATTTTAATTAGCGAAAACTTTTAATCAGGGAACGGTGACACATATTTACTTTTAGAAAATTATGTAATAAACTTGAAGAATGATCTATAAATTTATGAGGTTGTAAATTTTTGTTATTTTTTGCGTGAATAGTAAATTGCACGTGAGGCCCACACCAGGAACGGGGACCACATATTATATTCATCTTGGTCTATAAAATATGTATATGGTGGTGTATATTCGAGTTGGGCCATAGAAAAGGGCAAGGGTTGACCGGTTGATCAAAAGAGGTCTAGTTACCAGTATGGGTAATTTAACAGAAAACGGCCCAAAATGAATTTCGGGGACTTCTAAATTAGAGTTGAGAAATTTATATTCATTCTAAAGGCCCATAGTGATCGGGAACACGAGGTATATTTTATTTGACCCGATAAAATAAAATATAATTAAAACTATCCGAGAAATACAACTTTCGAGACCGATTGTACACTTCAGGACTTCAAGGGATGACCTCCCACATGAGTGGGGGTCACCCCACATTTTGAGAGCTCATAGTTGACAAATTAGGGGCTGCACAACATGGGTTGAAAGGTTGGCATTGGTTGAGAGTGATGGGTGTGTGAGAAGTGAGTCAAATGACCCAAAGTGCCCCCCCCATTCATTTGCCTATTGATGGAGAGTTATCCACTATCTTCTGCCTCCCAACGTCCCTATTGGCAGTAATGGCATCAACATTCTTTTCATTGCTCTCTCCTTACTTCATGTTGATATCAACCTCAAAATCTCCTTCATGAAGGGCCGTACGGCCCGTACGGAAGGCCTATATCATTCTGAGTATATTATCGTTCCTTTCCTCCCCACCAGACTTCGTCCCACTATGATTAAGAGTCAGACGCCTCAAAACCCCCTTTGATTCTCTGTAGGTTTTGAATGGTAATTATTTGTACTACTCTTAAGGTCCTCCTCATTGTCACCGTATTCTTTCGAGTTCGTGTGAAAGGGACAAGTCCCCCTCCCCCCTCGTCTGACCCTATTCCCTCGATGTTGAGTATATAGTTTTGTTGATCACTAAGCATACAAGAACAAAGGACATAACTATCCTAAGGTCCAAATGGGTACCTGTAATTTCTCAATAACTAACCATGAAGGTGGACCAACGGATAGAACTATTATCATTTCTATCAAAGAACAAACGTTAGAACTGTGCTCAGTTCTGTTCTACATGAATAATTGGCATGCATGGTATTTGATGAATGCGTGCATGATAATACTTTGTTGTTGATATACGTGGCACAATTTAATCTTAATCTCTTTCCATGCATGATTAAACATTCACTTTAATAAGTTGACCTATATAGCTTGATAGTCTACGATAAGAATCATTACATGTGCTGCATAAATATCTTCCTACCATTATAATAGTTGGTCGTAGCACATTTAATTTGAATTTGCTAAGAAATTAAATGTTTCTTCTCCACATGATTTTGAAGAATCTTTTTTAGTTAAAATATTAAATGAACATCTTAATAAAAGAATCTTGACTTGTTTAGCAAGATTGACAGTAGCAAATTTATCTATGAAAAATGAATAGTTTACTACCCATGACTTGGTTGACCGTAGCTCTTGTTTAAAATGAGTAATTTTCTACAATATAAGGATGGTGTGTTGCTACATAATTATATGTGGACCGTGCATGTTTATATATGACAAGCAAATGTATTACTTCCTTTTGTGCAAGATTATGTGTGTCTAAAATTGATTGAGTTCAAATAGAAAGGATCCGCATAGAAGGAAGATGATTCAAATAATATCATGGCAAGTTCCTGACTGGCTACTCGACTATCTAAGGAAAGACAATATCAACGGACTTCTCCAAGCAGTCTAAATAAATACGGAGATCATGGAAGCAAAAAGGTGTGCTTGTCGGAGCTATTTTGAGAGATATTCATTGAAGAACTAAGAAGTCCAAGGCACCTGAACCTACTCACAGAAGTTCTAGATATAGTTCCTCTTTCCCTTCTCCATAATGTAATCGAGTTTTGATGACTAGTTAAGTGTAGCATCATCGGGTTGGTTAGTGTGTGTTGTGGGAGTTTTGTTGTAAAACTGAGAGGCTATCTACCCAAAAGGTAGAGAAGCATAACTCTTCCTAGAGAGGATAAAGTTGGGGTGGCTCAAGGGTAGACTAGGAGAGTTTATCTTGTAACCACAGAAGGCTTTATAGTGAAGTTGTTAAAATTCCTCTGAGGGAGGTCGAGATTTTTTAATCCATTTTAAGCCAAGAGGTTTTTCCTCATTAAATCCGTGTGCACTTATTTTTTTCGATTTACCCTATGCCCCACATCAGAACTTGGTGAAAAATTGTCACGGTTCCACAAACACACAATTCACCTCCCTCTTGTGTTACTAACCGTTTCATCAATTGAAATCAGAGCCGGTCTTCACCACATAGAGGGTAAAATCTTGGGAAGAGATCCGGCAAAATGAATACGGTTGAAGGACTGGAAGAAGGGTACTCGACTCAACGTCCACCGTTGTTCAATGGCAAATTCTATCAATTATGGAAGAGTCGAATGGAAAACTTTATCAAAGTTGAAATAAGACGAGTAGAGGTCTACGGAAGTAAAGTTGTTAATGGGGTCTTATTTTAGTCAAAACCCTGTGAAATAGTCTTATTTTGCACAATTTTCTCATTTATGAATTTGAACAAACATTATGATAATCTTATTTTTGGAATAAACAAACATATTTACTCCTATTTAGGGCAAATTCCCGAAGCAAAAATGATGTTTGTACCCACTCTTATACCCACTTTTGTACCCACCTATGTTTGTGAAAGTTTTTTTTCTTTGTCTGCGAACATCAATTCACAGACAATATTTTGCACAAATAAAATATTGTCTGTGAACCGGTTTCACAGACAAAAAAAAACCTTCATAAACATGGTGGTATAAGAATGAGTACATCAATCATTGTTGTGCTCGAAGATGGTTGTGGCAAGTACGAGGATGCATGTCTACAATGCGGACACATTTTATAGCTCATGTAGTTTTGTCAAAAAACTATATTTTTAGTCCTATAAAATATTTTTAGTCCTACACCGTCCCAGTTTTGCAATTCTTCTTTCTTTAGTTTTATTTAGAGAATTTACTTTATGAAACTAACTTCAAATATTTTCTTTTGAATTGTTTTGAGTCCCAGATCAGACCAAACTAGATCATATCAGACCAGATCAAACTTAAACAGACCACACCAGACTTGAACAATTATAATATACACAGAGACCAAATATTTATCAAACCAATCCAAACAAGTTTAGACCGGACCTGATCATACCAAAGGAGAGTAATTTCAGTCTAAAAGAACATCCTTAAAATGAATAAAAGTTAAAAGGTTTAAAAAAATCCAAACCATATACGAAGTACGTGATCTTATTAATTTACTAATAATATTTCTTAGGAAAAAGGTGCAAATAGGCCCATGTACTAATAAAAAAAGGTCAAATAAGCCCTTATTTAGGAGACTCTGTACGGTCATCGCCATTTGGGGTGGTTCCTAGTGTAATTTTTTGATGAATTTTTTTGAGAATCTTATTCATCAAGTCTAGTTTACTCATACCAAATTTCAGCTAAAAATTCATTGGGGAAGGCATTCAAATGAATTCTTGAAAATAACTGCGCAGTTAGAATCGCAGTTATCTTCAAGAATTCATTTGAATACCTTCCCGATTGAAGTTTTAGCTGAAATTTGGTATGAGTAAACTAAACTTGATGAAAAAGATGCTAAAAAAATTTCATCAAAAAATTCCACCATGAACCACTCCAAATGACGACGGCCGGAAAGAGCCTCCTAAATAAGGGCTTATTTGACCTTTTTTGGTTAGTACATTGGCCTATTTGCACCTTTTTCCTATTTCTTATTACTCCATCCGTGTTTTTGAAACAAATTTCACCTTTCCTTTTCGGTCAGATTCAAAATTAAGTTCTACTTTCAAACATTTCCTTATATGGCAAATTATCCACATCAAAACAGTGTCAAACAGTGTCAAAGAACGTTCAAATAGTGCCAAACAGTGCACTCCACAGTAAAGTTAAATTTATTTTCTTAAGGAAAAAGGGGCAAATAAGCCCACGTACTAACCCAAAAAGGTCAAATAAGCTCTTATATAGGAGGCAATGTCCGGCCGTCGTCATTTGGGGTGGTTCCCGGTGGAAATTTTTGATGCAATTCTTTGAGCATATTATTCATTAAGTCTAGTTTACTCATACCCAATTTCAGCTAAAACTTCAATCGGGAAGACATTCAAATGAATTCTTTAAGATAACTGCGCAGTTAAAAGCACAATTATCTTCAAGATTTTATTTGAATGCCTTCCCAATTGAATTGTTAGCTGAAATTTGGTATGAGTAAACTAGACTTAATGAATAAGATTCTTAAAAAAATTCATCAAAAAATTCCACCGAAAACTGCTCCAAATGGAGACGGTCGGATAAAACCTCCTGTATAAAGATTTATTTGAACTTTTTTGATTAGTACGTAAGCTTATTTACCCCTTTTTCCTTTTCAAAATGTGGAACTTTTTTAGTAAAAGGAGCTAGTATAAATGTATAACATAGGAGTCTCAAATACAGTTGCTATTACGGAGTGACATAATAAAGTCATAAAGCGTTAAAACTCCATTCTAGATCTTCTCGAACGAGAAGACTTGATCGGAAGGCCAAAAGAAGATGAAGATCACTGTGTTGACAGCTGACGAACAAATTATTACCCTCGATGTCGATCCAGACGAAACTGTAATAGCTCATTCTTCTTTTCCAATATTATTTGAATTCGTTGCCTACTGGAATCCAATATCTTTGTGTTTGAACAATCAGGTCGAGAACTTGAAAGCTTTATTGGAAGTTGAGGTTCGTTGAAAGTATGTATTTTTTTTAACTTATATACATATATGTGTGTGTGTGGTGACTTGCAAATAAAAAGAATGAACTATCCTACTTTCTTTAATTCTTTCAACATTTTGACTTTTATGTTTGACAACACACAACTTTGACTTTGACTGTAATTATATTTAATTATGTATTAGTAAACATTATAAAAGGTTTATATTTTGAAAATTCACATTTATAGGAATTTTAATAACATTTTATACGTAACAATTTGATTATATATATTAGTAGAAAATAGTGGTCAAAGTAAGGTATGTGAATAGTGCAAAAATCATAATGTTGCAAGAATTAAAGAACGGAGGAAGTACAATCTAAGAATTATGAAGTTTTTACTTGTACTTCTCAAAGTTTCACTTTTTTAAGAAGTTAAATTATTTACAAAATCAATACTACGTAATTTTTATCCAACCTACCTGTTTTTTGATACTTTTAACCTGTCACATATCAAATCCGGTCCAATGTATTAAATTTTTATTCAATTCTCAGAATTCTTTATATTTGACCGATACTTATAAAAGTTAGGATCAAATGAGAACCATGCTTAACGTGAGAACTCCACTTTTAAGCAAATGTGATGCACTAAATTGTTTACACCTTAGCACATTTTTGTGTTGACAAAATATTTACGAAACGGCCACTTCATTTATTTGATGTTTGCATATTTTGACCAAAGTTTAAAAAGTGTAATAGATGAGCCTCGTAGTGCACCAGATTGTGGTCAAAGTGCATGGTTCTCAAGTTCTCATGTTAAACATGGTTCTCATTGGAACCGCTCCCTACTTACACATATAAAATTATTGTACACATGTGTTCATATGCATATATAGGAGGGTTCTTGTTGAAAATTTGTTTTAGGGAACTTTGAATATCATCTTTTCATTTCTTCCAATCAATGGTTAATACACATGCAGTACCATTATTCTACTTATCCAAAATTCAAACAGCTTTTATGTAATTATTCTTAAATATTTTCAAAAACACAACCTTATCAGTATTAGCCATTGATCACAAAAAAGAGACACGAGGAACCGAGGATTAGAATTTCTTATTTTAAAAGAAGTTTTCGGAGTTGGTTATCATAAGAACCTTTCCCTACACATACCCACACACAGTCACACACACATATATATGTAATGTTTTTATGTTGTAATGGCTAGTTGATAAGATTTTATTACGATTATTCGAATTTCTGTTTGGTATGGGCAGACACAGGTATCTCTTCAGCAACAAAAGCTGCTATTTAATAGGAAGGAGACGTTGAATGCTGATAAGCTAAGCAGTCTTGGCATCAATGATGGAGATTTGGTAACGATGGAGAGGGTGTCTCCATCAAGGTGCCCACTCCACACTGTCTTAATGCATTAGTCTTAGAGACTGTTTACTTATGACTTAATAAACCTAACCGCCTCACAGGGACTTAACCTAGACAGTGATTTAATTCCTTGTCATTTTGTCATTTTTACTTGCTACTTAATTGGAAACAAGCCTTATTTAGTTATTCATTGAGCAAAAAAGTAACTTAGTTGTTCAACCTGATATATTACTTCTTCTGATTTAATCTGTCTATTGAGCCATTTTTCACGTAACAAACCTACAATAGAATAGATGTGTGGTAATAACTGCGATTACCCATTGAGAAGTCAACCGAGAATTGGTTATTTTATTCTATTCAAACTGTTAATTGAGCAAAAAAGGTAAACAAGCCCTTACACAAAGACTAGTTAGTCTACATAATGTATCCAGATTGGACTTGATGGGAAAAAGTAAATTATCTTACTACCTTGATAGAGTATTCCATCAAAGCTCACTGCTCCAAGGTGATTTTACCTTGTGTTACATGCTTACATTAATCATCCATGCCCCCTAGGGGAAAGGGATCGCCTACTCACAACTCTTCATTTACTACTAAATGATACTACCTCGTTCCCAAAAACAAGTTCTCACTTTCTTTATTTAGATGCCCCAAAATAGAGTTCCCATTTCCATAAAAGAAAACTTTTATCACCTCCAACCTCTTGATCCAGTTGTTTGTGTGTCTACTGAACCAACACTTTCCTTACATAATCGTTTGGGTCATCCCGGTCTTTCCAAATTTCGACGTATGGTCCCACGTTTCTCCAGTATTTCCTCTTTAGATTGTGAGTCGTGTCATCTTGGAAAGCAACCTCGTCAGTCCTTTCCAAGACGTGTCAATAACAGGGCTGCGTCCCCTTTTGATTTAGTTCATACAGATGTATGGGGTCCGTATCGAGTCAATTCTACCCTAGGGTTTCGTTATTTTGTCATTTTTGTGGATGACTTCTCCCGTCACACGTGGTTGTTTTTAATGAAAGAACGTCTTGAATTGTTTCATATCTTTCAAAAGTTTTGGGCTGAAATTCACACCCAATTTGGACGTTCTATCAAGATTGTACGTAGTGATAATGCTAAGGAATTTTTTACCAGTCCCTTTAATCAATTCATGACATCACGAGGTATGCTTCATCAGTCTTCTTGTGTTTATACACCTCAACAAAATGGGGTTGCTGAACGCAAGAATAGACATTTAATTGAAACTGCCCGTACTATGTTGTTACATTCACATTCACCACCACAGTATTGGGCAGATGCCGTTCTCACTGCATGCCACCTCATTAACAGAATGCCTTCATCGGTTATTGGTAATGCCATTCCCCATTCTGTTTTGTTTCCTACTCAGGCACTGTTTCCATTACCACTTCATGTGTTTGGGTGTGTTTGCTTTGTCCATGATACCACACCAGGAATACCCAAAATGTCTGCTAGGTCAATCAAATGTATCTTTCTTGGATATTTCCGTCTTCAAAAGGGGTATCGTTGTTATTCCCCGGTACTTAGAAAACATTTTGTGTCCGCTGATGTCACTTTCCTTGAGTCCTCATTTTATTACCCATCTCCCCTCCATGATACCCCCTCATGTGTTGACTTTCTTCCATATCTCAGACCCATCTCCACCCCCCTTACCGATGCTCCTATCGACCCATCTCCACCAACAACCCGTCCTTTACAAGTGTATCAACGACGCCCTCGCCCTTCACCCAATGAGTCCTCTGAGGTCACGCCTGTTGATTCCCCTACTTTGGATCCCACACCAGCACAGTCAGCTACCCAAGTGCCAGAGAACAATCATGATGATTTGCCCATAGCCCTCCGCAAAGGTACACGCTCAACTTTGAATCCTCATCCCATTTATAACTTTTTAAGTTATCATCGCCTCTCCACCCCTTACTTTGCCTTCACTTCACATTTATCTGGTGTCTGTATTCCTAAAACCACACATGAGGCATTATCACACCCCGAGTGGCGTCGAGCTATGTTAGCTGAAATGGAGGCTTTACATTCTAGTGGGACATGGGACTTGGTTCCCCTTCCTATTGAGAAATCAGTTGTTGGGTGACGCTGGATCTACACAGTCAAAGTAGGACCAGATGGCAACATTGATCGTCTTAAAGCACGTCTGGTTGCAAAGGGGTATACACAAATCTATGGATTAGATTACACTGACACCTTTTCTCCATGGCAGCAATGAGCCACTGACCATTATTTCAATTGGATATTAAGAATGCATTTCTCCATGGTGATTTACATGAGGAGGTTTATATGGAGCAACCACCTGGTTTTGTTGCTCAGGGGGAGTCTGGTTTGGTTTGCAGATTACGTCGTTCTTTATATGGCCTGAAACAATCCCCGCGTGCATGGTTTGGGAGATTTAGTGTTGTTGTTCGTGGTTTTGGCATGACTCGGAGTGATGTAGATCATTCCATATTCTATAGACATTCTGCAGGCAATAAATGTATCTTTCTTGTTGTATATGTTGATGACATTGTCATTACAGGTAATGATGACCAAGGAATTGCCCAACTCAAGGAATATCTTTTTAGCAAATTTCAAACAAAAGACTTGGGAAAACTAAAGTACTTTCTTGGTATTGAGGTTGCCCAATCAAGAAATGGAATTGTGCTCTCACAGAGGAAATATGCATTGGATATTCTTGAGGAAGCAGGTATGTTGGATTGTAGGTCAGTGGATACACCAATGGATCCAAACGTCAAACTCGTGTCAGAACAAGGTGACCTCCTGCCCAATAAAGAGAGATATAGAAGGCTTATTGGGAAGTTGATCTATCTTACCATCACAAGACCAGATATTTCATTTGCTGTCAGTGTGCTTAGTCAATTTCTTGATAAGCCATGTGATGGACATTGGGACGCAGCTATCCGAGTCTTGAGATACATCAAGAAAACTCCAGGACAAGGATTACTCTTTGAAGATCGAGGGCACCGTGACATTGTTGGATATTGTGATGCAGATTGGGCTGGATGTCCAATGGATAGACGTTCTACTTCTGGATATTGCATTTTGATTGGTGGGAATTTAATTTCTTGGAAAAGTAAGAAACAGGATGTGGTTGCCAGGTCTAGTGCTGAAGCAGAATATCGTGCCATGGCCCTTACTTCATGTGAGATATTATGGTTGAAGCATCTCCTCCAAGAATTAAAATACGGAAGCATGAAACCCGTCAAGCTAATGTGTGATAATCAAGCTGCAATGCACATTGCTTCCAATCCAGTGTATCATGAGAGGACTAAACACATTGAAGTTGATTGTCACTTTATACGAGAAAAAATCACAAATGGACATATTACTACTCATTATGTCAAAACAACAGATCAACTTGCAGATATTTTAACCAAGTCTCTTAGAGGACCTAGGATGCAATATATTTGTAACAAACTTGGTGCATATAATTTATATGCTCCAGTTTGAGGGGGAGTGTTGAAACCCTAGTTGTATTGGGCTAAGCCCATCTTGTATAGTAACCCTAGTGCTCTAGTTTTTGCTATAAATATAGCTACTTGTATAGTTCTTCATATTAAGATTCATTATAATGAAATACATTTCATATAATTCACAATAGTCGAATGTCACTATTATTCTTTCCTTTTGCTTTCTTTTTGTTTGATTTGACTTAAAGTAGGGGCATGATTAGAAAGTCAAAACAAAACTTTATCATACCTAGATACGTGCAGGTCAATCTGGGAAATCGTTTCCCGGGCGGAGGGAGTATATTATTTGTTTCTCTTTTTAGATAAAGTTGGAATATTTTGATTTTTACCTCTATATTCTCCTATTTGATAGAAATTTATCATTGCAATTTGTAGAGGTTTTTCAGTGTTGGTGGATGGCTGCACTTTAAATAAGTTCATACTTTTAAGACACAATATCTATTGGAAGATAGTACTAGTTCTTTGTACAGTTTCTTTTTCTTTGCATATCACAGAAAGTTGCCTTCTATTTTATTCATCACACTGGCTCATTTTTCTTGACTGTGTAGTACATATCTGTAATTTCTCTTATACCGGTTGCTAACGATGATTTGTACATTTCAGTGCATCTACCAATGCCTTAGGCATCAATCCAGATGGTTCTGCAGTGAACCCTTCAGCATTCCAACAGCATTTGCGGAATGATTCCAATTTGGTCGCTCAACTGTTCCAGGTGGGTTCAATTTAATTTTTCCTTATGAAACTTAAAAGTAATCATCAGGTGCTTTTAGTGCAGCCAACTGTATTAGTACATATATAACCTATGCTGGTTGGGAATAACTTCCCTATAGTTTTGAAATTTGAACTAGTTTGCTCTTGGTTCTTTTGCTGTTATCATGCCTTCTTCCATCATTACATTCATGAGAATGAGAGGAATTCAAAACATGTAAACCAATATATGTAGTTGTAGTAGTGCCTAATATTGAGATGGGTATTTGGATGGTTGGACCTTTATGGGCTATATGTACACACCTCGAGGCTAAATGTCTTCTTTATTTTGCGGAATCATAAAATGGGTAGGGGTCACATACTCATACCATGCAAAATTTTGCAATCCACAGAATGATCCTGAACTAGCACAATGTATTCTCGGGAATGATATCAACAAGCTACAAGAGATTCTTCGTTTACGTCATAAGCAGAGAACAGAGCTCCTTCGCAGGAAAGATGAGGAAATGGTAGATATATCATGTATTGATATCCCCTCATACAGTTTTGATTTAAATTTTTTTAAATATATACTAGTATAACTATATTTTATTTCCTTGGCATCCAGTTTTTGGTAAGAAACTTGTATCACCTGACAAATTAGTTATTTATTTATTCATTTTTATATTTTTTTATTTATCCAGGCACTACTTTATGCCGATCCCTTTGATATAGAGGCACAAAAGAAAATAGAAGAAGCAATCCGACAGGTAATTGTTTCTTTTCTGCCTTTTATCTTACATGTTTTTAGGGGTTTGCATTCGGTCGGTCGGTCAAATAACCAACCAATAACCGAATAACCGACCAACTTTTTTTTCCCTAATAACTGACTGAAATCGACCGATTATATTACCATAACCGACCAAAATCCGACAGTTCGGTTTCGGCCGGTAACCGAATAACCAACCATAACCCATCTTAGATATTTTTTAAGAGTAATTTTTTAATATAAAAACTATGAATAATTTAGCACAAAACCAGAATATCAAAAATACAAAATCCAAAATTGTAAATCGATCACCATTCTACCATTGTCCATGGGCTTGCATCAAGACATACATCTCTTGTCAATATTACAATCAAATATTACATGCGAGATACAAACTAAATGTATATACTGGCTATTATTAAATAATAATTCCTGCCAGGCTGCAATACTTTTATATAACAAAGTTCCTGCAATAAGAAATGATAGAAAGCTAATTAAATGCCGAACATTAATCAGCATAACTAATAAAGCTACTTTTTGCAAAGCAAATTAAGAAGCAGTTGATTTCAGCAAACATTTGTAGTGGATCAGCATAAAGAAGTCTCTTATCGTTCATTCCTTCTTGAGAAGAATAAAAACAGTGTCTGTATTTAAGATTTTAGACCTTCTATTATAACCATTAATTACAGCATTTCAGTGAGATCACTAAACTGAAGAAAAAAGAGAAGTATTTGTTCAAGAAAGAGGGGTTTAACTAAGATAAATTAGAGATTTACAGCCATTAGATAATATGTGTAGAGGTAGTTAGAGATCGGGTAGAGGTAATATGTGCCCGGTACTCTGCTACTTCTTCGCTGGAGAGGTCTGTGATTGGAGCAATTGAAGAAATGAGTTCGGATTAGGAATTTAAGAAGAGAAATCGGATTACCTTTGGTTCTTCGTATAAGGCAAAGATTAATCACTTAGCTTCACCGCTTTGCTAGTTTCTGGACTCTGGAGATGCAAGGTTCAGCCGCTGAAGTTTAGGCAAGGGAGAATAGAAAACAGAGGTTCAGCAATTTAGGGTTACTGTTTCGCTAATAAGGTTGGCCGCTTCAGAGCTTTGGGCCCGAGCCGCTTCAGAGCTTTGGGCCCGAGCCGCTGGGCTATAATTGCTTTGGGCCTATTTTAATATACAAGAGGCTATTTTGTTATCATTATAGCCTAATAATATCGGTTATCGGTCACCAACCGAAACTGAACATTCAAAACCACTAAATAACCGAATAACCGATAATTTTTACAAGTAATAACCAATAGCCGACCAATAACCGATTTTTCGGTTCGGTCATTGGTTATCAGTTACGTCGGTTTTTTCGGTTATTTGCTCACCCATATGTGTTTTGGTGTCATCTATGCAATTTGGTTTACAGTTTTATCAGTCACATGAATGTGTTATGATGGCAAATGGAAAATTCTAAAAATGTTTTTTACTCTTCTTTCAGAAGAAAGTTACTTGTTGGGTAGTCGTTTGCTTTAGCATTAACAAACACGCTAGGTTCATGGAATAGATCTGGAACGACATGCTCAAGTACAGAAATATTCCATTGCTGAGTTGGGTGTTTATTCAATACGAAGTAATTTTTTTTCGGAACGGTTGTGAAAAGTGTGTTGAAAGAATTGTATTGATTACATTTGAGACACATGCATATATAGGAATAATATTGTAATCTAACCTATTTGACCTTAACCTAACCTTTCACAATAATTAATTTTCAATCAACATCAACAAATACATCTCTAACACCCCATCAAGCAGCATCTTATAAATCATATGCACCAAACTTGTTACAAATGTATGCAGTTCTCAGACCTTTTAAGAGACTTTGTTAATAGGTTATCCTTTCCTTGTAGGAGGCATCACACCCTCCTGCAAAAAAAATCTGTGTTGTCTGATCAGAGGAGTGCTCTCTTTCTTTCATTTAAACTGGAGTAGCATTTAGTGGGATGGAAAAGATTTAAGCAGTACTTTTAAACTATGCTTTGGAAGCATATATTTTTACTTTTTGGAGACTGGATATAGATTGCTAAAATCAGGATGTTTATGAATATGGAGATCAAGTTCTACCACATGTTCTGAAATCTGAACAAACCAGCTGACCATCTTGCCGTGAAAGGCTGTGAATCAAGGAGCTTGAGTATCGTTGACATTATAAGGAGTTAAATGGTTTGGTTGGCCGTGATAAAATAACGTGCCTAGCTTTAAATTTCATTGATGTTTCCTGGCTGTATTCTCTGGGCTCTTGGTTATCAACAATATTTAACCTTTCTTGTAAAAAAAGTATTTATTGAGTCATGACGTCATGCATTCTGTTTCTATATATTTCATTGGTTTCGATGTCAGTTCTCATATTGATATCTTGTGACCTGCAGAAAGGTATTGATGAGAACTGGGAAGCTGCATTAGAGCACAATCCTGAAGCTTTTGCAAGGGTGGTATGTGAAATCGAATGGTTGCACAACTCGGGTCACTGTTTAATTTTATTGTTATTATTATTATTATTTTGTTGTTGTTGTTGATGACTTGTTGTTGTTGTTGACTTGTTGTTGTTGTTGTTGTTCCCATGGTCAGTAATGGACACATGATTTTACAATTAGGGGTGATAATGCTTAAATAATACTTATTAATACATACATTGATACATACAACAACAACATCCAAGCCTTAGTCCCAAAAGAGTTTGGGCCCGGCTAACATGAATTGACATATGAAATTGGAGCTAAAAAAGATAAAAAAGAAGATGAAAAGAAAGATAAAAAAGACAAGATAAAGAACATAAGAACAATACAAAAGATAGAAAAGAATGAGACTTATTAATACATATTTATAGAAAAAAGGACTACTTATAGAAAAAGGAGTACTTATACAGTTATACTTACATAGTTACTTAGAAAAAGGAACATTGTTTTCTGAGAATCCCTTGTACATCGGAATAAAGAGTGTTATTTATATTACCCCCCTCCAAGAATATGGATTCATTTTTTTTCGTCCGTTCGGCAATAAGCTTATAGCTTCATTCAACCACACAATTTCACAATCTTTTTAACAAGGTTGCCGAGTCACACCAGGAACCTTATTTTGGGGACAGAGAGGGTATTATTATTTGTGTTGGCATTGTTATCCTCATTACTTTTATTGTTTGTTTCTTTCAGGTCATGTTGTATGTAGACATGGAAGTCAATGGTGTCCCTTTAAAGGTACAGAATATGGAAAGTGGCTCTGCTTGCTTCAGTGGTTCTTTTCACAAACAAGCTTAATCTATTAAGTTTTTAATGAATATTACTTGCCTAATCAGACAAGAAGAATGTTTTTGGTCTTTCTGGAGTTGTGAAGTTAATTAGTTTGTTTTATTTTTCACTTCTTGATTCTCGATCTGTTCCATAATAAACTTCCTACTTGCTGTTGCCATGGGAGTTAAGAAAGTGAATTTGTGTGTGTGAAATTTATTTAGAAACTATAGAAACCACATCAACCTCATATCTCTTTCCTCAAAAGAAATGAGAAGTTCAATTTGGGACCACCCAAAAAAGAAAATTGGAAGTTTATTTATGTAGTGGTTGCTGTCTACCAAATCTTCCTCTATTCTAGGTTTGTTGTGCTGAATTAGGTACGATAGTCAGCTTGAGTGTGCTGTTGAGTGGATTGAAAAAGAATGTAGTTTGAAACTGCTCGAGTGCCCGTTTATTAAAAATTGTTTTGTTGTTTCTTACTGCTACTGAATTGACTTTATTTCTTCATTTTAGTTCACTTCAATAATGCTATAATATTGTGGCCGGGTGCTTCTGAAATATCTAATTGAGTTCCCTGGAGCTTATGTATTATTTAGTTGCCTCACACAGAGTGGGTTTTCTTTTACAAAATCAGGCCTTCGTTGATAGTGGAGCTCAGTCAACAATTATATCAAAAAGTTGTGCTGAACGATGTGGGTATGGTACTTTTTTGTTCCTTTCTGAATGACAGATCCATTCCCATTACTATAAGTTTACTTTAATCTTGACTACCAAGCATAATAATTTACATGATGATTGTGTATAAACCTAACACAGTTTCATCAACTCAAGTTAGACTTGTCGTGATTAAAGCACCATAGTCGCATGAAATCTCAAGTACCTTACTGGAAACCCGAAGCCATTGAATGAGAAAATCCAAGGAACAATTACTATTCATCTGACTAGAATTGCATAACCAAAATTGCATAACTAAAATTGCATAGACAAAATTGCATAACTAAAATTGCATAGACAAAATTGCATAACATTCTTTTTTATGATTGATAAATAGAGACGACTTCTGTGCTAGGAGGCCTCAAGCCAAGCTTAACACTGTAGAACTAAATGATCATCCCCACATATTACTCAAACATGTGTTTGGTCTCATGGTGAAAGCTATTGAGCCTCGTGGCATCTTCTTGTTTTTTTGCTTCAATAAGTTATCTTATTGTCATGCCCATATCTTGAAATGAGCCCAAATTTGGAAATCGATATCTCTTTCATCGAATTATAAAACACCACAAGGCCATCAAAGAAATAATCCTTGGTTTGGCCTTTTGTCTTCTCAGAAATGGATCGAAGACTTCAACTAATTGTAGTCCATGTATGGGACCGTTTCTAATTGTAGCTCAACTTTATGTGTTTAATTTGCTACTAACCCTAGCCCAACTACGATTAATTCACCCACACTAGGATGTGATTAAGATTTCCATTTATGTCCTCTATTCATCACTTTTAATTCTTAAAAGCTTGAACACTCCAAAAACCAAGTGTTAAAAAAGCTAAATTGGGCTTATAGGTAAGCATTATAGGAAACTATACTCATAGAAGTCTGGTAGATAGAGATTGAGTAGAGACTTTTGTACTCTTAATTAACACCCAATAGAATACAATTAAGACATCATCATTTTGGCTTCTTTTGTATGCGCCCGAGTCCTCATCAATCCATCCATTGAGATGAATTGATTTCTTTTTTTGACTTTTTTCATCTATAGCCTTTGATGAGACAAAGACCCACTATTTTTTGTCTTGGGAATATGATGGAATAATACAAAATGGCTCAATTAACTGTCTGTGCTTCTTTGTTATGAAGAAGCAGTCAGTCCATGCAATTTTCAACGCGATTTTCACTATGGGTCATCCAGAAACAATCTCTCTGTGCTTTAGTACAAAAGTAAGGCTGCGTACATCCGACCCCGCCTTACCCCACCGTAGGTGGGATCCTTTGCGGCACTGAGGTGATGATGATTCGGCTTTGATGAGACATTCCATCATTTGCAATGCAGCCAAAGACTCGTTGTTTTTTGGCTTGGGAATATGATGAAATAAAGCAAAGTGACTCACTAAAATGTTGCGCTTCTTTGTTATGAAGCAAGACTTCAAGAGTCATTCCATGCAATTTATGTCACGATTTTCACCCGGGTCATCCGGAAACAGTCTCTCTGTATAGGAGTCTTCCGACCCCCCTTACCCCACCGTAGGTGGGAAGCCTTTGTGGCACTGGGGTAATGATGATGATGATGAGCCTTTGATGAGCCAATGAGTTTTATGCAGAAATTGTATGCCTACCTTTAACTACTACTTGTAGCCCCATATAATGTTTACATTTTCGTTTTTATTTTGACCCAAAATTATCATTCACTTCATTTTAAGTAAGTTAGAATGTGGTTCATATTTTTGTCCCTCTTCTGAATAAATCTAATCAGACAAGTTTAATCTTTTTAAACATTGTGCCCGGTCAAGATGGGGTTTCATTTAGGGAGAAAGAGAGCATGTTATTGCATTCCAAGAAAATAGTTATTACCTTTTTATTTTTAATTTGATCAGTTGACGTATGTTCTGATAAGATGAAAGTGATGATCTGATCTTGAATGCTGCTGCTTTTATCTTAAATATAGTTTACATGTTACCTTACAGATTGTTAAGACTCTTAGATACACGCTATAGAGGCATTGCTCGTGGTGTTGGTCAATCTGAGATACTTGGTCGAATTCATGTTGCTCCAATCAAGGTTTGCAACATTTTCAAACAGTTTCGTAGTCCATGAGATTGTGTCTATTAGAAGGGTAGAGAGTAGTAGGCTGGTTTCTTATGACTTTTCTAAAGTGAAGTAACTATTGCAGCAACTAGTCTCAAGTTACGCGTGTTTAATGTACTCTGCAATCCAGTAACATTTTCGATTTTCCCTTATGCTTGTCTGGTAGAATCCATTGATGTTTGTAACTGGGTCGGCCACCGGATCCCAAAAAAGTATTGATGTTTTTATTGCAAGAATGATGTGAAAGAATTAAAGTCCTGTTTATTTGTGAAGATGCATAAGAATCATAAGAAAGTATGGTACATATATATATGCACACAGTGATTGTCTGCTTCAATGAGTTCTGGCAGATTGGGCCAGTATTTTATCCCTGCTCATTTCTGGTTCTGGATTCCCCAAATATGGAATTTTTATTTGGACTTGACATGCTTCGTAAACATCAGGTATCTACTACCCTCTCCTCTTAGTGTGAACTATTATATTGGTTGACTGATTCAATGAAGACTAAATTAATTGAACGTCATTAAAGTGCATGATTGACCTGAAAGACAATGTTCTTCGAGTTGGTGGAGGGGAAGTCGCAGCACCATTTCTACATGGTTTGTTTTGTGCCCATCGCTTTTCTTTTTCCATTTCGGCAACATCTCAGAATTAGTTCTATGGCCTTTCAGAGAACTGAAGTACTTTTCTGAATCACTTATGATCAACCATGTTTTTTATTTTATAGAGAAGGATATTCCATCTCAGTTTTTGGATGAAGAGAAGCATGCCAAGGAGCTTTCTGCTTCCAGTTCACAAGTATGCATGCTCCACACTCCCTCTCTGCCTCTCCTTCTCCCTCTCTGTCATTTTGTTTTAATGGGATCGGTTCGAGCAGTTGAAATTCTTCCTCTTCCTCTTTGCTGTCTGTTTTTTAAATGCACTCCTAGTCTGTTTAAATGGACAAGGAATTATTTTCTGTATATGGCAAGTCTAGTTTTCAGTCGGCCTCTTTTTATAGACTCACGTGTTTTTGTTGCTTATGCTTGTGATCTGGATACATAGACCTTAATTCCTTTCATAATCTCTGTGTCAAATCACCGATTTTAAAATTTTGGAGCTGTGACATTTCAGAGGTCACTGTCTGCAACTCTGCAAGTTAGTAATGAGGTATAGAAAATCAAAATCCTAGTGTAGCCCTAGCTCTATCTACATACTTGCTTTTGCAAACTAGCAGGTGGGTCTATTTGCCAATTGCCACTCGCGGGGCCTTACGAACCTTCACTTTCAACCTTTCAATGTGGTATTAGAGCCTTAATCCTAGGCTCATGAGTACATTATGAAGGATAGGAAAGTAGATGATACTGTTATGGCTGATCACTGCCCGATCTATGGTATCATGAATGGAAAGGAATAGGGATTGCAAAAGGAGGCTTCTTATTCTATTATTTATTAGTTTCCTTTTATTAATATTTGTATTAACTTTCTTTTCTTATTGTTATTGTTATTTTCCTATTAGCATTTAGCTTTATATTTCCTGTAAGAGTCCTCAGTACTGAATATGAAACTACTTTGGATAATTAATTTGTGTGTGCATTGACTTGTCTGGGCACCGGTTAGTTAACTTACGCCTTTTTTCGAAACTCTCTCTCTCAAGCATATATCTAAAAATCCTTAGCATAGATCTTAGAATCCTCTTCAGCTCTACCTCTCTTCTGTTCGTACGTCCTAGACCTCAGGCAAGATCTCTACCACAGCAGTGATTGTAGGAAAAAAGTGTTGAATTGTAGTCTTGTCCAATTTGGTTCTTGGGGTCTGCTTGGAATGGATGAAAGCATTCTTTGGAAAATGATTTCTCTAAAAGGACTCATTTCCTGGAAAGGAAATGATTTCGGGAAGAAAAACATAGCAATTCTATTTTGGAATTTCAAAAACTATTTACTCTTATTTCGGGAACTTTCCCTTTTCATTTCTGGTTGTGGTCAGAAGTTGGAAAATAGGAAAAACACGAGTCACAAACAGAGGTAGAGTGGGAGCACTGCAAACATTCTTGTGGCAAATAGTTGGTCGGGATGGTGGCAACAAATTTGTGACAGTTTATTGCTCTGGTACAATACAGAGTCACTCAATCATCTTTCAGTTTATCATTCTATCAAGTTTAGTTCATATTCCAAAATCAAATTCTTAGTGTTTTATGACAAAAAAATCCAGAAATTTTTAATGTGATTGTGCTTAATCCTAATGGAGGTTGGAGAGTTTGGCCCATATCTCGTAGTGGTGTAGTCGAATTTCTCAAGTAATCATCCAAAATAACTGACAAATAAATTCACCAATTCTTAATTGCTTATTTTGGGTAAGCCTGAAGATCAACTTCAAGAAACAAATTTCAAGAACCGAGTATTATCGTTCACAAAATGACACTTGAAGATTTGCTTATTCCCAACTCCCATTCTCACTTCGTCACATAAAAGAATATGAGATTTAGAGGCTGTCTTGTACTCATGGCTAACAGCCTAGAACAAGGAGTCCTGACTCCTGACTCCTGATCAAGTTAGAAACAGTGGAAGAAAAGAAAACTAGAAATGAAATGATGATGATGATCCACATCTGGAGTGAGAAAGACAGAAGGAGAAGCAGAGAGCAGTCACATACTCACATGTGCTAGTTGGGTGGCCTGAGCAGTAAGGCACAGTAAAAAGTGGGATTGGATGATAGGTATGTCATCCGGAGTGGTAGAAATTACATTTAGTGCTCATATACGTTTGACTATATACATTCATGTTAGCCGACCCCAATATCTTTTGGGACTAAGGCTTGGATGTTGTTGTTGTTGTTATCCGTTTGACTATATACTGCACTTTAAAATAGCAGATTGCGGTCCCATTTGCAAAAGTTTTACGATTTTCAAAAGTTATAGTGGCAGCAAAATGGTGATGGGTGGTGGTGGTCAGTGTAGTGGTGGCCAAGTCGTATCCACGTACATTGGTGCTGACTATTTCGTATAAGATTCTCGGTAAACTAACACTCCATCTTAATCAGAAGTCCACAACCAATTGCTAGAAAGTCCATTGCCAGAAGCCCAGAACTGTCCACACTTGCCGCAGCTCCTATATCACTGCCTGACCATGCACCTGCATGTGAGTGCTTTCTCTATATTATTATGAGAAAAGAAGCAAAGTAAAATTTGTAAAAGAAGAAGCAAAGTAAAATTTGTAAAAGAAGAAGCAAAGTTTGTGCCCCGACAGTCTTCTTTTACTTGCTCTTCTGAACCTAAAGTGAGCCTACAAATACATATAGGCAAACAAAGGAGGCAGCCGGGGGTCGCCGGAGCTCGACGGGGGTGGGTGGTGGATGGAGGAGCTCGATTCTGCAGGGGTGACTTCCGGTTGGGATACAGCCTCTTCTTTCTCCAGTCACAGCACTCGCCGGTGGAACCGGTACCAGGCGGGGTGGTAGGGGGGGGGGGGAGGGGTTGGGCTGACAGTTGACCATGATTGGTCAGTCTGCCAGTTTGACCGAAGGGTTTGAATTTTGAATTCTGAAATCCAAAACGGCGCAAGGGGGGAAGCGATACACTTTGGGCTGTCACCCTAATTGTTTTGACCCGGTTGCTGCTGCTACAAGGATGGGCTTAATTATGGGCTGGACTGTTCTTGCTCGACTGCTGCACGGATGGCCTTATTATGGGCTGGAGAGGTTTTTGCTGTTTTGTTATTTTGGATGCAGAAGGGTTTTCATTGGGCCTGGACTGCTGGGAATTTATTTTTGGACTTTTGATGAATGAGTCGGGGCCTGTCCCGTGCCATTCTTGGATTGTGTTTTTTGTGATGCCTTCGGGCTATGAAAAAGTATTCCTCTCCCCCTACCCCTACCGCACCGCAGTGTGAGGTGGGGGGGGGGGGGGGGGGAGATACGGTAGATACTATTTTAGGTTAGCGTGCTGACTTAGATAGTTTTTTGATTTTTGTGATGCATTGTACAAATGCTATTTTCTGGATATATATACATTTACATTTTATCCAAAAAAAAAGGAGGCAGCAATGGCACAAAATAAATGATCTGTATGTCAAGGTGAACTATGCATACGCTGTTGGTTTGCTGGTGTGTTTGTTAAGAGCCTAAGGTGTACTAATGTTCAACATATACATAGTAATCTTCATTGGTTAACACCGCTCAACTTTTTCCACTTATTTTCTATATAACTTGAGTTAAGTCTTACATTTAGGCATGTGATATGGATTTCCATCTCATATTCTCATTGTAGTTAACTAAGTTCAACAGGCTTTCTCGAATGTATTTGTTGTTATCTGAACTTATTTTTTCCATCTTTAAATGCCTAGGAACCTCTTCGACCCAAGGAGAACAGTAATTTGTCTAAAGGAACTCCAGGTATTTTTTTCAAGTTATGTTCCATAATTGTTACTACTCGTTTATGCAATTTATTTCCTTTTGTGGACTCCCTCTTTGAAGTTAAAAAGCTTCATGAGGTATATAGCAGTATAGCATGTAACTCAACTCAATAGTATTTTCAATACATGTAGCAAAAAATGTATGATGATGACAAATTGACAATTAACTAACGCGATAGATCTCATGAAACCGGCACAATATAGCTGGAGTTATTCAAATGAAACCTCAATCACCAGGCCCTATAATTTTTCAGGATTGTTTTCTATTGAGCCCTTAGCTTTGTAAATTGATCACCCAAATGTCCATTTTAAAGGGCTTAACAAAATTGAATTGCTGTGGTAAACATGGAAGAAATGCTAGTCAATGTTTTTACCATGTCAAAGCTTTGCATAAGGGCTAAATGACATGTAAAACATTACAAGTATCATTTTTACTCTCTTAAAAATCAATGTGGAAATATTAATTAGGCTTAACTATATTTTTAGTCCCTTCAAATGCAGTGCTTTCAGTTGTCTCTTCAATTTTTTTTCCATCTCTAATTTATGTTGTTTTCCTTTCAAGTTCCCAACCTTCGTTTTACAATGCAACCAAACAGGCTAATAGGTTTCATGTCTTTCTTTTTCAAGATATTCTAAAAAACTTTAAAAAGATATCCAGAAAGAAGCCAAGACCTTTATAAAAAACATGAACGATTAGTGTCACTTAATTTTAGTTTCACGATTAGTCTCTGAAACTTATATAAATAGAAGTTAAAAATAGATATGTGCAATCTACATTAATTATTCCCTAAATGGATATTGTCCTGAAGTTCAAGAGGGACTAAAAAGAAAATAGTACAGATTACGGGAATGATAAAAATGTTTTGCAAAGATCTAAAACAAAGAGTGCTATATCTGCAAGGAACAAAAGCATATTTAAACGTATTAATTACTAAGGGTTTTGTCAAAAATATCACTAAAATATGAGATGTGGACAAAAGAGAGTTTTTTTCCCGTTTTGAAAAATGAGACTAAACTGACTTTATGCCCTTTAAATCAAGTCACTGTCCACTGACCATGAACAAAGTATTTAGATGGGCTTTATCATATTAAAAATATGGGATTCTTATTTAAAATAGTCTGAAACTTAAATATCAGGCTTAAACGTGTGTTTCCACTTCAGGCGAGAATAGCGAGCCCTTTTTAGTGCTTTAGCGCTTCTGCGCCTAACCTGCGCCTTACACAGAGAGCTGCGTGGCTGCGTCTGGCTGTTGTTAAGTCGATACGGCTGGTGCGCTTAAGCGCCCAGGCGCTCGCTTTTGACTAATGACTACTTTGGCCGACCCAATCCAAAATCCATGATTTTGTCGCGAAGAAGACAACCTGGATCTAGATTTCTGTATCAGATTGGGATTTAGCTCGGAGATATAGCATCTGTTTGCGGGCAGAAGAAATTAGAAGAAGATCACGAGGTTCAGCCGACAACGGGGGTGGGGACTGGAATAGGCGTCGGAGGAGAGGAGTGCCAGAGGCGACGAGGGAGACCAGATGTGCAATCGTCCTCACAAACTGTGGAGCCGCTGCTGCTGGACACCGTCGTTGTCGGAAACTTACAGTGTCACCGGAGCATCTGAAGTGTAGCCGGAGGTGAAGTGATGGTTAGGGTATGGCGGCCATGATGCGGGAGGAGAAGGTTCGCATGGAAAGAGGAAAGAAATGCAGATTTGGGGATATTTTAAGTATTTATATTGGGGCATTTTTTGTTAGTTCAATTTTATTTGGTCTCTTTTTTGTCCAGATTAAAATTAGGTCTCATTTTTGTCCATCTGATAGTTCATAGTCTTATTTTGGTCATTCTTTCTAATTACTACTCCCTCTTGTCCTGAAATAGTCGTCCTGCTCTCCTTTATCCGTCACAAAATAACTATCATGTTTCTTTTTTGACAAAAATATGTGGTTCATCATTTCACCTTTTTCTACTTGACTCTCAACTACATCTTTTAACTTTCCAACCACTATTAATATGCGAGCAAAAGCAAACAAGACAATTAATTTGGGACGGAGGCAGTATCTTAATATGTTTTCACATCCTTTGCCATTCAGTTTCACTAATTCTGACATTCTGTAAAAAAAGTCTGATAAATTAGAAAACAAACAGATATGATTATAAAGTTATCGACAAATAATTTTATTCCTCAATCAGATGATAATTTACTTGAAAAAATGAACATTGAAAATTGTTGGTGATGGCAATTCAAACTATAGTAACATTTGCTTAGGCCTAGGGATCTTTTATCCAACTTTTAGTTGGTTTTGATGAGTGGCAATTCACACTATTGTTTTGTATCGGCATGCAGGGAGCTCTAGTCGAGGTGCACCGGAGGTAATGCACAACAGAATTTCTTATTTGTAGTGGCTGTATTCTATGATTATATTGCAAATTAGGTTAGCTGAATGTGAATGTGATTGTTATGTTTAACAGGAACCTTATTCTGAAGCAAAAGTTGCCAAGCTTGTTGAGCTGGGGTTTGGAAAGGATGCAGTCATACAGGCTTTGAAGTTTTTCAATGGCAATGAAGAAGCAGCAGCTGCCTATCTTTTTGGTGGTTGACCGAGTCACATATGAATTTCACCAACATTTTTCTTCTTCATTTATATCATCTAAGGTGTGGGTGGTACGAAAATTTAATTTATACACTTCTCCATTTTCCCTCCATGCCATTTGGCATATGGGTAATGTAAAATTGCAATAGTGTGTTGGTACTCCTGAATCCTGAATCCTGATGAGGCCAGTTCCTTCGAATCAACATACCAGATTATGCTATAACAGTTGGCACAGCTTTCTTTCTTTTTTATTACGGAAAATAATATTTTTAGTTGTACAACCTAATGAGTGTTATTAAGAAAATACAGTAATAAGAGCAAAAGTGCAAAACATGGAGGAAGTTCATGAATAAGACCGATTATATTTTGCTTTCAAAGTAAGATTTACTAGTTCTATACTTCTATAGTTCTATACTTCTATTGAAGGAATAAAAATAGTTAAATGAGATTAAGGGAGTGTACAAAACTTTTAAAAAGATGAAAATGAGTGTTTTCATCTGACAATTTTTGTTTAATTTAAGTACTTGAAAATTAAAAGCCAAAAGCAAGTTTGGAGGATATTTAAATTGTTTTTAAGTTTTCTATTGTACAAAGAACACTTTTTGTATGGAGTGTCAAACATTTTATCAATTTTTACTTCTCCAAACACATTGATTTTTCAAACACTTAAATTTTGTTATTAATATTTTTCTGAAATCACTTCAAAAATCACTTTCATCTTTAAAAATGTATACATCATGTATACAAATAGATTTTTTGCACAAAGATTGCGTGACTTTGGAGGAGATTAAGAAACAGTATCACATATTACAAAACACCCTTTAAAGGAAATACGAAGAATATTTTGAACCATTTATAAAAGGAAGAAACTTGTAGGAATGTGAATTAGTACCCCAACATTCGTCTTACAGCATTTCTCATTGTTATACGTACTCAGAAGACATAATATAATATATAATATTATGTCAAATGATGCACAATGCTGCAAGACAAATAACATCTACACCAGTAATAACAAATGCACAATTAATCGCTTGCTACTTTCCCCTTCTTTATTATCAGCTAAAAATAGGATAGTTATGCTAATTGCTAACTATAGAAGTAATTCGATCAGAAGCCTTTCCATACAGTGAGAATTTCATGGAAAATTTCAGAGACGAGCTCTCTGTCTGCATACTGAAGAAAAGCATTAAAGTCATTCAGGATGTCATATATCTTTCCAAACTTCACAAGATATTGCATACACCTTTCCTTCAACTCTGGGAGTTGATAAAGCGAGGCATTGTGGAGCCTGTCAAGGACGTTATTGGTGTCTATGTCTTGCATTAGACTTCTATGGCAAGTCTCCTTCAAGTCCCCAATGTCATACTTGTCAGCTGCCCGAAGGAGAGCTAATCGATGAGTTAAGAACTCCCCGTTCTGTATGGTCCCATATATGTATCCAAGAAGAGCCCGGCAAGCTTCACCCGACATATCAGAGATGTCCACCTCAGACAGCTCTTTCTCCTTGAGATCGTGTGAGAACATGCTTCGAAATACAGGTGACCTGGCTGCAAGAACGGCTCGATGGGCTGCAATGCTCCCATCTGCGGTGTTGATTTGAATGTCAGTGTGGATCCTTTCAGACAACATCCGGCCCAGTGATATTAATGCACTCGCATTAGTCTCTTTCTCTGTGAAGCCTTCAGCCCAGATTGAGCAAAGCTCTCTGGTCTGTTCAGCATTTTTATATAATAATGGAAGAATATTCAATAATCAAATATATAATATTTGATAACCAAGGCATTAAGTCTAGATTTATATTTTTTGAATATTGACCGATGTGAGATGACTTAAAAGACTAGATCTCAAATCCAATAAGGCTTTAATTTGCTTCATACAAATAACTTCATGAGAAGAGAGTGAAGGATTACCACTCATTTATCTTAACACACATGAAATGGCATATTCTAAATCATTATGGCCGTGTTTGGACTTTGGATTAAGAAAATACCTTCTAAGAGATGATCTTCAGATCAAGAAACTCAATGTGTGTATTAAGGCAAGAATCAGTGTTTAGGATAAAGAAAATACCTTCGGAGAGGTGATCTTCAGATCAAGAAACTCAATGTCAATGATGAATTTGCCAGGAGCTGGAAGTTCAGTTGCCCAAACGAAGTCTTCACTGGTCTTAAGTTGTTTGTCTACAACTTCTGCATGGAAACCATTGTCAAAATTAAACTCCAAAATCATGAGGGAAAATCCAAAAGAGGAAGAATTAAAACCCACAAAACTATAAATTAAACAGGAGGGAAAAAATCAGGTACCCGGGTGAACCAAAGTCTTGCGATCACCAAAGGACGAGATTGTTCTAATGATAAAAGATGCTATAGGAGGGCTATCCCTTGTCAGATTTGAAATCTCGGGGTACACTTTAATGAACAATGTTCTGTTCTTCTCAACTACTAAATGCCTTCAACACAAATAACAATGTCTCTTTCAATTATTAGCAAATCATCATAACTGAACTTGAGAATGAAAAAGGACACTTAAAAAGTAGTTCTTAAGGTTGGGCCCGTACAACTACGCTGAATTCGAGATTTACTACAAAATAAAATATTAAAAATAAATACTAATTAGTTGTATAATATCACATTATATATATTCAAAGAAAATATGTGTGTGTATCCTATGGTAACTAAAGCTGTTTTGGGCTCGGATTAGGGGTTTGTCAGGTTTGCCTCATATTAGAATTTAGAGCCATGCAAATTTATTCTCTCTAATAAATGTTTAAGGTGTTTATATAAAAAACTGCAATACTGGTCTCATGTTAAAGAAAGAAGATTAATTTGCTACACGTTACACAAACACACACACGGTGACATGGATAAGACCTGCTTCTGAATTCAAACTAAATATTGATGCATCATATAAAGCTAATCATAAGGGAGGAGGAGCTATTATGAGAATCCAACAGGGAAGCTAACTTTTGCACTTCAGATTCTCGTAAAGGCTAAATTTGTTCTTAATGCAGGACTGTATGCTATTGAAGGAGCAGCAGACTAGGCTGCTAGTGCAGCTTATTTAAACTTCATTGTGGAATCCGACTCCCTAGTTTCTATTCTAATTTCCAAAGGAACTAATGACAAATAGCTCAAACCTACACTCAGGATATCAAATCTCTGCGAACTAGAGCAGACTTATCTTTCTTGCACTGTTATAAGGACGGAATCCTGGTAGCTCATCATTTACCTTAATTGCAAAATGATCTCTGTACTATCAACATATTTCTTGCTAGTTCAATTCTTCCTAATCTTATAAGAACCCCCTCTCCACGACTATTCTTATAAATCCCCCGTACAAAATGCCTGATGGCATATTTTTTTGTGCGCCAAAATACAATTCAATGATTGTAATTTTTTTCTCTTATTGGAATCAACGATTCATTTTAACTGTTATATCATGCAGAAAGTTCAATTTTACTAAGATAATCTCAATAAACTCACTATATCAATTTTAGAACTTTGCGAACGATTAAAATTAATTTATTATCAAGAATGATGTCTATTTTCACTAGAATTGGATAAAACAATCACATTCACGAAGATTCATCATCCCTTGATCATCGAAACAGTAATAATGGTGGGATGGGAAGAAACACAGATGACTGACCAATTCCATAACCCGATTTTGAAAGGATCAGACTTGCGGTAAGTGCAGGAGGAGAGATTGTCGATCCGCCATTGCGCGAGGCGCGAAGTGGTTTGGACCCGATAAGCGGAGTCGGTGGTCATCCTAGAAGAGAAGGCCAGAGCCGTTGTGATTTCATTGATACACCCGAAAAGCCCCTCCAACCTTATATCTCCTGCCTTTCCCAGCTTTCCTTCCTTCCTTCCTTCCAAACCCTCTCCTAGAATCTCGTAAATATAATATACTTCACACACGCAGAAGCATTACAGAAACCCACTCGAGTGCGCGATTCAAGGCAAAAGAAAAGGAATAAGAAGAAGAAGAAGAAACCTTTCCTAGGGGTTGTGTTTAGTGGACGAGCCAGGCCAAATGAGTTACGGGCACGAAAAGTATATTTTGGAGTTATTGCTTTACGCCATGGGGATTTGGTGGTGAAGTTTTTGGAGGTTTTTACTTGTTATCTACCCTCCTCTGTTTTGTTGGCTTACCCACTTCTTCAGGGAATCAGTGCATTGAGGCTGGAGCTGTACATATTTATTTATTCCCCCTCTTTTTTTCTTGCCCTTGAAAATGATAATGTGATAAAAGAAAAATTAAGTTCCTTGTTACATGACGGTAAATCCCATCGTTCAGTCGGTCGGATATGAGCCGACCATTTTTGTAATTAAATCTGGATCGCTTCAATTCACTAATTAAGAATGACAGTCAAGTCGGTCACTTCGCGGTTGCTCACTATTCTCGTTAATATGCTTCTAGGTTCCTCTTATTTTTTGAGATTCTTGCTTCTTCTTCCCGTTCTTTCTAAGCCTCTCAGGTAAACAAAAATCTCAAACAATAAAAACACAATCATGAAAGTCACCATCAAACTTTCCACTTCTATGAAATTATATCCAAATAATTGAATCTCGATTTGATATATCTCCACTTCTATAAATTAGGAGCCCTACTCATTCAGGTTTGCATTTATATTGCGAGAGTTATTGGGGACAAGACTGATGGATTTGATCACATACACAAATGAATAATGAGCATACACTAATGAACTTTTGAATTTTTTGATACTCATTTTGTAAGTTATGTATGCTAATTTGGAATCGCTTTATGCTCATTTTAAAAGGTTGCACATTTCAAACATATCATACTACATTAGAAATGAGTTTTATGTTAAATTAAAATGAGTATAACGTCCAAAATGAATGAGCACACACAAATGCTTTTTTGATTATTTTGATACTCATTTTGTAAGTTATGTGTACTCATTTGGTACTGCTTAATGCTCATTTTAAAAGGTTGCACATTTCAAACATATCATACTACATTAAATTCACATATTGAAATTAATTGAAATTGATTATAGACATAACTTAAGACTTTTTAATAAACGAAAAAATAATAAACAGAAAGTGATATATAAGGTATGAAGAAGAGATCACTCATGCTCATCGTTAGACTCCTAATACTCAAAAGAACAGACTTAATGCTCATCAAAATTGCATAAATACTCATTTAAGAGAATTTGCGATTTTCACAAAAAAATACAAATTTGCCACCGGCTGTACAGTGATCACTGTACAACCGACTGTACAATATACGGATCCACTGTTACACTACTTTACTATGGAGTGATACATAGTTACATACTCCCTCCATCCCTCAATATTATGTCATTGATTACAAAGGAAAACGACAAAATTTTTGGGACATTCAA